ACTCGGCAAGTTGGCCAAGCGCGTGGGCGAGTGGGTGTAACCAGGCTTCCGGTACTGAACGAGAGGACAGTGAATATTGAAGAATATCTTCCAGGTGAGCTTTGGCATCAATTGTCAGGGGTGGTATTACATTTATTGAGGGAATGTCGGGAAGTGGTTTGAGAAGAGCCATGGGGTGGTTGGGCAGCAAAGCCACGGGTTCTATTAACGAGCATCTTAGGAAGTTTACACCTCATGTCTTGAATTACACAAGAAAAGAAGTTACATTGTAGCCCATAATAGCTGCGAAAGTAATATAGTACGAGTGGGATTTACACGCAACACCATCGCATGGAACCCAACATTGGTGATAGAAGATTTAGGAGAATTTCCATCTGTAAAGGATATAAACTCTAGTATACATAACATACTGTCAATAATACATACCTGTTACCACAGTTTACGCATCTAGAAGAGAACGGGGGTCAATCATTAGCTTAAAATCAGCCACATATAACTCACGTCACGAAAGTCTGGAAATCAGGTAAGTCAGATGTAAATAAATGTCATTGTAAGTATGCTTACCGTCATTGGCTCGTCAGCAGAACGAGTCTGGGCTTGACGATAGATAGTTTTACGCTGTTACCCGAAAGTCAAAGAAGCACATTCGTGATACACCATTGACGTACCGCTTTGCATTTTCCGCATTGGAAGGCGTCTGTTTCCGCTTGTTGCTCACCCGCACCGAGCGATTTGAAAAGGTTTGCCTGCTCAATTTCCCGATCCTTCTGCTTTCGCTCCTCCGATGCCATTTCCTATGCGTTCGGATGAAAATAAGCACAGATAGAGTGGAATAACTCCTAATCCAAGCTTACTGCACTAGTCATGACAGCCAATTTAGCTGCAGGTATGCTCCCAGATACCACACCTTCTCTGAGCGATGGGTTTTCTTTCCCTTTGAGATTAAGATACAGTGACCGCATCTTCTGCCGATAGTCTGCATTGGAGCTGCCACAGTTATCAAAAACAGTTTGTTCGACCGCAGTAGACCGGTTCATGATCAGGTCGATTGCTACGGAAAGTCAGCAGGAATCACGGAGAGAAAGCATGAAGTACACACGGGCCCCAGAATCGATTGCGAGGGAATCATATATTAGCAATCGGCAGGTATCCCGCGTTTTGTCTCCGAGCGTTGGGAAAGATACTCCGTCGCTCTTAGCAGTTCGTGGTCCATCGCTCTTCACGGGCGCTTTCAGCGATGATACTATCAAAATAATGAATTAGCAAGATACTCCATTGTTGTTGATAGTGTGACATACGTTTCTTCTTCTTCTCATCATCAACGTCACCCTTCCACTTCTTCACAATCTCCTTGGCCAGGTCCGAAACTTCGGTCGATTCATGAGTCCTCAGTCGTCCTACTGTGAGGCCAACCTTGGTTTCCTATTTCGTGAGGTATATATCAGCAAACAAGGTCTCCTTTCGATGACGAACAGGGGCCACATAGGCACGCGAGTGAGGTTTCGTACCCGAAGCGTATCTTCTGTAGCTACGACAGATTGTTTTAGTTTTTTCAGCAGATTAGCGAGATCCTAGATATTGGTAAAAGGCATTAAAGCAAAGTTAGCAATCAGGAATTAAAATCCTTTGAGAAGGGAACCAGGTTGGAAAACGTACGCTGGGCTGCATTATCGCCTTCTGAGTTTGTATCTCATTTACAATTCTTTTAATCTCAATACGGTCCATATTCTACCCTTAGGAATTCCTCGAACTCTCTGCAACTCAAAAACTACAGACAAGGTCTGCGTCAAAAGATTGGCAGCAACTCTTGGGAGAATGGATACCATTAAAGCCGAATTGCCACATTAAGAAAATCAGAGTAAATTTCCGAGAACAATGTTTATCTACCTATATCCGGTTGTTCATGACCCGAATAAAGTGGTTTCGCTCCTCCTCTAGTTCCCATAAAGACATTCGCTCGTCCTCGTCCCTCCCAACCTTCAGGTTGTGCCTTTTTTGCACAATCTTTTGCCCACACCCTATCATAGTACTGTTGAAGATTGGGCCATCTGGTAGAATTCCACTGGAACCCTCTGTGTAGCATATAACCCAGAAAAGGGAAGAATGCAGCATCAGCCAACGTGAACTGTGGGCCCGCAATGTAATCAGCCTCTCCTGCATATCTCTCCCAGAAGTCGAGTTCCTGATAGACCGCTTGCACAAGATCATCTCGCGCGTTATTCGTGAGCGGACCAGTTTCGCCATTCGCAGCATCGAAATGAGCATCTTCTAGAGCGTCATATATCGTATGCAGGTTCTCGGTCTCTTGGATTCTGGCCAGAGCACGTGCTCTGTCCGAACGATTAGCAAGCGGAGGAAGTAATGGAATATTTGGTCCAAGGTAGTCCTCAATGTAAAGTAGGATCGCAATACTTTCATTGATCTTTATATCACCATCGATCAAAACTGGAGTTTTTCCCCTGTGATTAATGGCCAAGAACTCGGGTAAGCGAGTCTCCTTGGGGTTGCTCATGACTTTTAATCGTTTCTCGTCGAAATCAATGGACTAGATGTATTAGATTGACTTTTGAAACATGAAGGGGTGCTCCTTACCTTTTCAAATAGGGCCATCTATACCATGTTGTTAGCGCGCGGGCTGAAGTGGGGTTATATCATGACCTGCCTTTACTCGCCAGCTGGGAATAGACCCGTTAACAAAGTACAAGAGGGGTTTTCTTGGTATGTCCGCTCTCAAGTTTGTAAAGTGTAAAACATCAAAACCGGCACCGTAGGTTGCGTCCCAATCAAAGTCGCTTTGTTGGTTTTCAAATCCAAATGCATCGATCATACGCTGAGAAGCATCTTTGTCCCCATTAATGACGGGTTTCGCTTCACTCTTGGCCTTTCCTGTTGCTCCTTGTCCATAGATCTGGGTCTGGTCGGCGGAAAGGAAGGTGGCAATATGACGAAAAGTTAGGGAAATCCTCTCTCCATCATAATCCATCTCTCCTTTGGTCTTTAAGAATGCTTCTCGCTTGTCTTGACGGATCCCATGAAGCCAACGTTTATTCGTCTCAGAGCCCATAATAAACATGCTGTTATGGGGCAATGGGAAGCGTTGCGCTGTACGTTCGGGAACTTGTCCGGTCTCTTCATCTTTTGGAGGAAGTGTATCCTTTTTGGTCCGCAGGATCATCACGCGTTCGGCGCCTAGACTTACATTCACGATGTTAGAGCCGCGAACGACGTCAATGGTCTTATCCGAGTGTTCAGATATGTAATCATTTCCACTCCTGTAAAGCTGAATCAATGCATGGTTAATTGGGTGACCAAGCACCTCTTCCACTCTTGCCCTAATTTTTGCCGCAGTAGGTGACCAAGAGAGCAAAGGTGGCGATTCGTCACTAGGATGACGATAGATGGGGAACCTGGAGATTTCGCTGAGTG